AAACTATAATAAAATTATAATTAACTTACTCATTATCATGCATTGTAAACCTTCTAAACAAAACTTTTTTTTCATTCCTGTTCATGCTATTAATTGCGTAAATTTTATCAACTATTCTAATCACAGCTATATAAGAAAATAATTAAATTTTAGTATAATTTGACATACATAATAATCTATGAGGAATATAAATTTAATACATACCTATAAGATATTCTTTTGAATCAATTCTTGATTTAATCTCTCCGTAAGGAAGAAATTTAAATTTGTATTTTTCTATATCATCGTCATCCTCCTCTAAAATCTTGATGTTTGTACGATAACATAAATGAATAGATATTATAGAGCGTAGTAGTTTGTATATTTTATTTACAATAATGATCTTTACGTTTGAGAAAATATGATTTTTTTTTCCTTCTTGTATTAAGTTTCTCAGTCGTAAATTAGAGATGTTAAATGGGTGGGTATGGGTTTAAATGGGCGGGCCATAAATGGGCGGGCATGTTTTGCCCATTTACCCATTTATGGCCCATTTAACATTATTTAAATGGGCGGGTTTTTGCCCGCCCATTTAATAAACGGGTCGCCCATTTGCCCATTTAACTATAGTACATATATATATGTATAATACTTTTGGGGTGTTTTTTGTAAACTTTTAGGGGTTTTTTGTAAACTATTGTGAGCTTTTTGCAAACTTTTTGGGAGCTTTTTGCAAACTTGTTGGGGCTTTTGATAAAATACTAACAAAGATAGGAACATAAACAAAGATAAACAAATGCAGACAAATTCATGATTAAACCATATACAAGCCTGGATAAAAGTACAGACCTCACACATTTGCAAAATTAACCTCAGATTTCCAAACCAAAAACCAAAAGATCAATAACAACAAAATTACGAGTATATTTAAATGAATTAAGATAGAAAACACAAGGTATGCAATGATCTGTATAAGATCAATAACTTGATATAAATGCCATCATAAACTAGAAGAGTAGTAAGTTCGTCTATAAACAAAATAGTAGCACAACCATAGTCTACTTATTTCACATCTTTCAAATGTTCAGGCATGAACAGGATCATGACAGAAGAAAGAAAAGACCAGGAAACAAAGATCAAAAGAGAGGGATTTTACGAGAAAGTAAATCTTAGCCCCCAAATTGACAATGCTGCGACTGACAATAATCACAACGCAAGGAAACAGTATAAACATATTACAGAATCAACCAAAATCAACCAAAATCACAGCTTCAGCAGCAGCAGCAGCAACAACAACTGCTTCGGCAGCAGCAGCTTCAGCAACTTCAGCAACTTTAGCAACAGCAGCAGCAACAGCAGCACCAACAACAGCTTTAGCAGCAGCGCTTGCTTTCTCGTCAGAATTCGTCTGTGCCATTTATTGAACAAATTCAAGGTTCTCTGCAGCATCAACAGTCAGTTAACAAGATGCAAAGTTGCAAACAAAATGCCATTGAGCTCAAGAACAATGAAAGTTAGCAAGATGCCATTGCAAGTAACCCAAAATGCCTTTGAACCATGAGGACATCCATGAACAATCCCATCTTCTTTTCAATGACAATACCATGTCAGGATAAAGGAGAACATTTACATAGATAGCAGCAGTCAGCAGTTATGAATGTGAAAGCAGGAAAACAACTCAAACAGCCAACCCCAAAGATTTGTAGAAGGACTTTTGTTCTTGTGCACGTGTAAGAACATTGGGGCACAAGTTAAAGTTTAGAAAAGAAAAAAGACAGATGCACATGAAAGTGGGCAAGTGTGTGTGCACTCACACATGGGCGAGCAGACACACACAGCGAGAGAGATCTTTAGCCTGAATCCCTATATCGAATCACTACAATGTATATAAAACCTTGTTTAACAAGACTTTTAGACCGAAAATCCAATGTTATTTTATGTTTTCATTATTTAAGTATATCACAAATGTCTGTGTGAGAGGTGGCAACAGCAGAAATGAAGGCAATTATCAATCTTGGTAGCAGATAACGAACAGAATGCATTAACATATATCATGATGCAGTATCAGAAAAAAGACTTTATATTCCTTACTGATCTAGAAAAGGAAATAATTGAAAACTTATTGATAAAAAGCTGAGAAGCTTCAACCTTAAGAGTCATGTAATCACGGCTCAGAATGTGTCTCCCATCCTTCCCAAATTTAATATCTGAAATTGAAGCAATGATCTCAGTAAAAAATGATCTTGAACCCGGGGCTTCATGCTCTTCAAACCTGTAGGGGTATGTCATCAGCTATGGCGGTAACAAAAGTAAAAACTTGAAATAAAAATTCAAATACTTTTAAGTAAGAACTCCATCGAAACACGTATAGATTTGAAATAAAAATTCAAATACTTTTATGACCCATCAAACTATAAAAATTTCCCCAATCAAATACTAAATGATAAAATTCTAAATTGTTTTACCATACAAAACACAGGCAAAGGACAGCCCGAAAACAAAAAGGCAAATGGCAAGGCAACTATCAGTCTATCACAAAGGAGAGGACAGCAATTGAGAAGGACAATGATCCAGCTACAACAAGCTCACAAAGTGGTGCTCTTGGAGTCCAAGACTTGGACTTTAAGCCAACCACACGCGCATCAAAGACAACCACAAAAACAGGGAATTCTATCATTGATTACGACTGATTCGCTCCATATTTGCAGGATGCAAGAAATGCGCTTAAGATACATAGTAGAAAACAGGGAATTCTATCATTGATACTAAGGATCCAACCAACTTGTATAGATTTTTCTGCATACACTTCATTATAGTTTCTAATTTATTACTATATTGCATCCACTAGACATTCTTTCTCATCAATCATAGATTTTCTAGTTTCTTTTCTCACAAGGGCATGCGTGTCTTGACTCACAGAGACTGTCTTGATGTTTTTCTCTCGTGAAAACCCTGAGTCTAGTTGTCTTCCTACAAGAATGCAAAACAGAAAAAACCAATCAACATTTGAATTTTGAGAAAATTAGTAAGAAATTTCGATGCCTGTGATTCTGATAATACATTAATGAACAGATAGAAAGTTGAGAGACTTAACTTTAACTTCCTAAACCAATTGGCCTTCATATGTGCTATTTGACTAAAATGTCTCCTGCTTTTGGCATTTCTATCTATTGCACCATAATCTAGATTAGGTGATCACTGTCATTATAATCTTCTTTTTCCCATCTACACCTCCATATGTAAGAGAAGCAACAAGATTTAAGTCTAATCCTAGTCTTTATCTTGTAGCTCTTTGATCAGGACCAAAGTCTATGATATGAACTTTATCAAGTATGTTTTCATATAGTTTGATGAGACAGTATGGTAGCTGAGCAAGTAACAATGATGGGCTTATATAATTCCCGTGGATTGTAGGGCTATGTGCCTACATATGTGAAGAAAGCTCATTTTAATTCAGAAGTTAACCAAAATAAGAATAAGAGCTTAGGTCGGCAACTTAGTAGACACTCTCCGTGCATGTTTAGAGCATATATCCAGGTCAAAATATGTAAGTATCCATGCATGTTGCACATTCTTATGGCAAAACCATGTACATAAGTGTTCTGCTAAAAATTAAAAAACATGTCATAACTTAAGTAAATTAGTATTATTTAAAATTATAATTATCAGTATATATAAAATTTTAAATGTACCTCTTTATCAAGGAGAATAAAATTAATTCCACACAATATCTTAGTGTCTGCGTTTTGTCTTTTTCATGTTCCGGTAATTCTTCTCGTCATCATTTTCATCTACTCGAAGCTCATTTAATGGAATATATGCTGCAATTTTATTATTATTTTTGGACTGTTCTTAGTTATGGATGGGCTTTTTTTTTTCTTCCTGGTGCTTCCCTTCCTGGGCTTCGGTTCTATTGAGACAATCAATCACTTTCCCTCTGCTTTGTATACGCGCTCCTCAAGTAATAGCTGGACTGTAACTAGATTCTACTCTCTTCTTATTCTTGGTTGTAGAGTTAGATGCCCTACTCAAAGGATCTCTCCCTAAAGCAGTAGACTGATCCCCGGGCTTCTATTGGCAATTATCTTCCTCACTTGATCTGCCCGTACTCTCTTAAGTCGACTTCTTTGCTGCCTTTCCGCGGAAAAGTCATTTCTTATAGCAAGCTTCTTTCCAGCTCTCTAGTATACTTATTCTCTTTCTTATGCTGTTTTCTGCCTGTAGTGTGGTGTGGTTCCGTCCCTACTATTGATATCCACAAATTAATTTAATATGAATATAATTTTATATCATCTGGATAATGAGAGTTAATAAAATTATTAACCATAATTAATAAATATTATAGTATAATTTTATAAAATCTTTGTTAGACCCTAGAGGGGGGGTGATTAGGGTCTTATGCTAATCTAATCCGATTTTATGCCAATTAAAACTTATTAATAAATTATTCTTGCAAGATAGATATACAATATGTTTTGAACAAGAATATGCAATATGAACAAAGAGATATATCCTATATGGTAAAATATATGCAAGGATATATAAACACAAATGTAAATAAATATGACACAATAAAGAGATGAAAGCGATATATGATGTGAGCACAAATAAAGATGAACGCCAAGCAAACACAAACACACAATATGTTCATGAGGTTTGGTCCCCGCGACCTACATCCCCGCTCCTCATCTCGAGGAGATCTCCACTATCACAACCCGGTTTGGAAGCCGAAACTTCTACACACTCGGTCTGTAACATAATTAGAATGATTTAAGTTGGTATATTTAAATTTACTAAAATTTATTTATTATTTAATTCACTTTTTACTAAAATTTTATTTTTAACAAAATTTGTTTGGTATGAAAATAAATTTTCACAAAGTTAGATTGATCTCTAATTTTTATTTGTTTGGTTCTCTTTGTATTTATTATATCTTTACGTTTTTTTCTAGCTTCATTGCTCTTTATATCAACTCTATTTTCCTGGTCATCTAAAGCATCTATGTTACTTTCACCTCTTGATCTCATGATTTCAAGACATCACATACGTTGGCACTTGGATAAATGCATACTACCTTTTAAATCCTCTTTATACTTTGGCAGAGACAGAAGTTAATCATGAAGTCAAAAGATGTTGAAGAAATAAATTCAGTAACTAAATGATTTGGGTAAAGATATTAATTTCAAAAATATATAATTAAATACGAATTAAATTTTCACAATTATATAAAACTAAAAAAAATAACTTTGAATAAAATGTCAAATTTAGAAACTAAATTATTTCGATCCAATATTGTGAAAATTTTAAGTTCATTTTAATTACAAAAATAATCTAAAAAGACTACATATATAATTTCAAGTATTTTAATTACTGTAAATTTTTAAAAGATCAAAAAATATTTTTTGAAAAATTTAATCATAGTAATTTAAAAAATTATGAACAAGATCTAAATTAGTTAGTTAAATTAAAGTAAGATTTGACAGTTTAAATTCGTATCTTGTATTTAGTAAGATCAATTTGGTAATATGAAATTTAACTTACTTTTGGTATTATTTTAGAAATATTTTGAAATTGAAATAATTTGAAAAAGTGTGAACATGATATCAATTTGGTAGTTAAATTAAAGTAAGGTTTGGTAATTTAAAAGTTATAAAAATCTTGGTAATATTTAATTCATTTTTTACTAAAATTAATTTTTGTAACTTTTAAAAACCCAATTGAATTTACAAATTTGTAAAATATATTATTTTCAAAAAATTAATCACTATATTATTTAAAAAATGAAAATATTATTTTCAAAAATATATTTTATTTGTTGTAACATTTTTAAAAAACCAAAAATATATTATTAAAAATTTTTAATTGCTATAACATTTTAAAATTCGATAAAGTATTTTCAAATATTTTAATTGCTGGAATATTTTTTAAAATATTTTAAAAAATATAAAAATATATCTTAATTGTTGTAATATTTTAAAAAACTAAAAAATTATTTTAATTAAATATTTCAATTGCTATAATATTTTAAAAAGCTAATTTTTTTAATATTTTAATTGCTTTAATATTTAAAAAATGAAAATTATATTTTCAAAAAACTTTAATTGCTGTAATTTGTAAAATTGAGAACACGATCTAAATCAGGTAGTTAAATTAAAGTAAGATTTAATAGTTTAAATTTGGTAATTTAAAATCTAATAACTTTTGATACTATTTTAGAAATATTTTTAAATTAAAATAATTTGAAATAATTTTTGAATTTGTGAGCACAATCTCAATTCAATAGTTAAATTAAGGGGGTGTTTGGTTCAATTTCTAGAAATTATAGGAAATGTTTTCCACCTACAATATGATTTCCTTGAATTTCTTAAAAAAATTATAGGAAAAAATTTGAGAAATCAAAAAGTACCAATTTTCTTGTTTTTTGTACTTTGCTTGTTTGGTTCAAAACAAGAAAATAGCTCATAACTTTATAGAAAATAACAAGATTTGGTACGTTTTTAATTAAATATGGTATGTGTCAGATTTCTGGTGATTTCCTCTCATTTTGAGAGGAAATTGCTTTTTGTAAAACTTGGTAGGTTTTGATATTTTATAGAAAATATTTCTGTAAATTTTTTGTTGAACCAAACACAATTTACAGAAATCTCTGAAAAAATTTTAATTACAAACTTGCCATTGTTAGATGTTTTGAGAAAAGTTTTCTCAAAAAGTGTGCAACCAAACAGCCCCTAAAGTTAGAGGTTTGGTAATTTAAAAGTTGTTAAAATCTTGGTATTATTTAATTCATATTGTATTAAAACTAATTTTCACAACTTCTAAAAAAAACTCAATTTAATTTGCAAAGTTTGGAATAAATTTTTGAAAAAAAATTTAATTGCTACAATAGTTTAAAAACTAAAAATATTTTAATTGCTATAAACTTAAAATATATTTAAAAATTATTTTAATATCTGCAATATTTTAAAAGACTAAAACATGTTTTCATTTAATTGTTGTAATAGCTTTAAAAACAGAATATATTTATTAAAAATATATATTAGTTACTGTGATATTTTAAGGAACTAAAAAATATATTTTAATTAAATATTTTAATTATAAAATTATTTTAAAAAACAAAAATTATATTTTAAGAAAATATTTTAATTACTGTAATATTTTAAAAAATCAAAAATATATTTCTAAATATTTTATTTGCTGTAATAGTTTAAAAAATTAAAAATATTTTTTTAAAAATATATTTTAATTGCTGTAATATTTTAAAAAATTAAAAAATATATCTTGATTAAATATTTAAATTGCTATAATATCTTAAAAATGAAAATATACTTTTAAATATTTGAATGGCTTTAGTATTTGAAAAATTAAAAATTTTTATTTTCTTTAATTTGCAAAATTGTGCATACGATCTAAATTAGGTAATTAAATTAAAGTGAGAATTGCCAGTTTAAATTGGTACGCAATCTAATTTTAGAAGTATTTTGAAATTAAAATAATTTGAATTAATTTGAAAAATTGTGAACACAATCTAAATTAGGTAGTTAAATTAAAGTTAAGTTTGATAATTTAAAAGTTACTTAATTTTTTGTATTATTTAATTTACTTTTTATTGAAATTAATTTTCAAAACTTCCACAAACAAAAAAAATTCAATTGAATTAGAAAATTTGTAAAATAAGTTATTTTCAAAAAAATCAATTGATGTAATATTTAAAAAACTGATACTATATTTTAGAAAAATATATTTTAATTACTATAATATTTTAAAAAATCAAAAATATACTTTAAAAATATATTTAACATTTTAGAAGACCAAAAAATATATTTTGAAAAAGTTTAATTGCTGCAA